ATAGCCAGTGGTGTGGTTGGACAACATTGTGAGTATACTTAATGACGCTGAACCGTGCACTTAAAATGATTAAAATGGCAAATGTTATGTTATATACGTTTTACGACAACTGAAAAAAAAATCATGACTTTAGTCATTCCCCACTCACCTCGCCTGTCCAGGCCATTTGTGGGATAGGGACTAAGACTTTACTGAACATTGAAAAAGAAATCATTTTGAAGAACTGTAAGCAGGCAAAGACAAACACATGGTTTAGGGCCATCTAATTAGAAGTGACACCTCTCTATTATTAACCCACAATTTCTCAACAAAGTAAAACCTGTGAGTTGGTACCGGACAAATGCCAGTTCTATAAGCTACTTAATTTTTCTGCATAGGGTGTAAAATAACTGTTAAAAGCATAAAAGATACCATATGGCACTGATGAAAGAGAAAAAAGGAGTTCTTTTTTGTTGTTGTTACTCAATGAACAATTAGTTCTCTATTCTCCAAAAAAAATGAAGGTGCCATTAGGAGAAAAATTTCAAAAGTGTCAAGAAGACATATCCAAAATGGAAAGAAAGTTGAAAAGATAAATAAAATGAGCATTCCTTTAGCTATATTTGGTGGAGTCCTGCAGAGAAAAAAATTCCAGCTAGGCAGTATTGAGACATAGTTTATTAATGCAGTTTCCCCCACAGCAGGACACAGAAAGAGAAACTGGTAAAACAGTCACATTAAAAAATTATGACTCCTACATCTGATCTTTATGAATACCCAGAAAAGAAACTGTCCTCTTGAGTCGTCCTTGGGCCATGTTGAGGCAGAGATGCAAAGGATTATGTTTTTTTCTACTTGAAAACACTATTTGCTCACACATGGTTAGAACAGACTGAAAGTTACTTCCCACATTTAAGGGATTTTTAAAGTATTTATAAAAAGACACTACGAAGAGTTTGAGCAGTTCTCCCAATTACATTTTGAAATAAAGCACTACAGTCTTTTGTTCTTAGAGTGCACAAAATTGAAGTCTGTTTGTATTGCCTTTGGGGAAAAATTTGTAGTAGGTGGTAAACTGGTTATAAATGGAATTTCCCTAGAATCTTAGAGCTAGAAGGGAGCTTGCCGATCATCTAATCCCATGTTTCTCATAGTGCAAGCTGTGCCCCACTGATGAGTTGTGAAATTAAGTTAGAGGGTCACAGATAACATTAGGAAGAAGAGAAGGAGGAGCAGAATAACTTTGAGTAAAAGAGAAAAAGTGTTACCCATAGTGTTTTGTGAAACGTTTGTTTCAGTCGTGTTAGAGCGTGTGTGTGTGTTTGTCCTGGGTCACAATGTAAAATGTGTGTGTCTTACTGTGAGTTCTGGTCCAAAAAATTGGAAATTACCAATCTAGTCAAATACTTTCCTGTTCCAGGTATGACAAGTGGAACCAGAGAGGGGAAATGTCTTTCTCAAGTCACACAGTGAGTTGGAAGTAGCCTAGGTCCCTGACTCCCAGTATCCTTTCCATTCGATCTAATGATCAAAATATGCTTAGGGGTGGAAGTCCACCGTCCTGTGGTTTCCGTACCCCCTGGCAGCTGGCATTCTATTGTATTCTGGAAATGTCCTTGCTTCTGGACTGACCGACTCCCTTTTCTCCTCCTCTAGCACTCCTACTGTCCTTCTACCATTTGGGATCAGTGGTTCTGTGGGATGGGGCAGGTGTGTGGAGGGAAAAATAATTAGTGCCCAGCCTTGGATGATCCATGACTCATGGATAGCTCATGGTAGCTCAGAAGGGACAGAGTTCCACGGCTCACTGCTCCCTGGGGCTAATGAGCCACAAGAGAAATAGAATTACAGCCTCTCTGTGGAAAAGAGGGGGGTACTTACGATATCTCACGTAGAGGGCATTCTCAGAAGCAAGACAACCAGCTGACAACGGTGGGCTCTAAGTAATTCCTGCCAGACTCACACTCTAGCTGATTCTCCTGAGTCAAAACAGAAGCCTGTGGATAGTTTTCTATAACTGCAGAGATAGAGCAGGATTATGAAAGAGGATCCTGCCTGGGACTCAAGGTGCCTCTGGTTTTGACTTAGAGGGGAAATGATCTCCTTCACTAATAAACAGACATGTTGCATTTACTATGTGCCAGGCACTACTTTTAGAATATTGTAAATATTTACTCATTTAATCCACATTATCAACCTCTAGGTCTTCTAAGAGGACTCTCCTACCTTCAGTTGTAGGCAGAAGGTTGAGAAGTGTTGAGATGTGTTAAAATAATTTGTTTTTCTTCTTGATTCGAAGACAGGAGCGTGAGTACACTTTATAGAGTTTAGAACTATGTCATTGACAAAGTGAATTAATCAACAGTCAAATCCAGGGAGAAAAGGTCAACTGCCTACTTTCTCTTGGCAGAAGGAATTGGGAAAAGGATTGTTCTTGCAAAGATTCATCACTTCTCAAAGCTTTCCAGAAGTGGTGATGGATTTGCAAAAAGCCATCTGCTTTTTAAAAAGAAAATTTAAACCGCCCTCATATATTTGTAGTATAGCTGCCTTGGTGCATCGAATCTGCTTTGGTCCTGAAACCCCCCACTGGAACCCATGTGGAGATCAAACCTGTGCCCTTGGCCTTATGAACTAGTGCCCTGCATAAGTGCTGGAAGAGGGTCCTCAATAAATAATTTATTGATTAATTTATTACCACATGTCTAAAACTAATCCTGAACTTGGAAACGGCTAGATTTGGCTTTGATGATGAAAATTAATAGAAATTTACTGAAGCATAAGCAGTGCAAGAGTTTTTTAGAAACAGGAATAAGGCCACCAGGTGTGGCAGTGCATGCCTGCAGTCCCAGCCGAGGCGGGATGATCACCTAAGGCCAGGAGTTTGAGACCAGCCTGGACAACATAGTGAGACCCCGTCTGCACAAAAATTAATTGGCCAGATGTGGTGGCACGTGCCTGTAGTCCCAGCCACTAGGGAGGCTGAAGTGGGAGATCGCTTAAGTCTAGGAGTTCCAGTCCACCCTGGGCAACATGGGGAGATCCCATCTCTAAAAAAAAAAAAAAAAAAAATAAATAAATTAAGAGGAATAGGAAGTGAGGTTATTTATTTATTTTTGGAGTGCCTATTATGTGTCTGTTGTGTTTTATATGTTAACATTTAAATCCCACAGTACTCCGATCGATTCTCCATCTCAGAGTTGAGGGAACTAAGTTACATGACTTGCTAAAGGTAAATGGGAGGCACAGAATGCAAAATATGGTCTGCCTGCAGAACCTGTTATTCTTTCCCAATCACACCGTGGCCTGCATTTTTTTTTTAATTTGAAAAATTATTTGTCCCTAGCAGCTTTCACTGACCATGGCAAAACTTTAATCGATCTTTCTGTGCCACAGCCTGCCGATTATCCACCAGGAATAAGCAACAGTTAAAACCCATTCTCGGTAATTAAGTCTTGGTTCCCGTAACGACTCCACCATGTAATGAAACTTATTTTTTGAACAGGCAGATACGGTTCACTAAAGAATCTGAGAAGAGCCATTTAACTTATGCTCAGTTTCTTGCTCTGGGTTAACCATGATCAAGTCTGGGCTTGGAACTGAAGTGCAGAAAGAATGTAGAGAATGCTGCTGGCCCAGAACTCACCAGTGCTGAAGCTTCATGGGAGTCAGGATCCATTTCCTGTGCAATCTGTGAAACTTCTTATTTCTGCTCATTGTTTTCCTTCATGAACATGTTAGGTAAAAAATACAAGTTGCTGAATATTTATTCTTTTCTTCCAACGGCCTCCATTAAATTAGGTGGCAAATTAATAGTAAATAATCATCAGAAATGGACAATGTTTCTTTCTGAAAGGTATAATTATATGAGGTCTCACACTAAAAATGTCCTGAAAAAAAGATATATTTGCCAATATCAGTACATTTTGTGGCTATATTGTGAAAAAATGACTTACACCATAGTATACGGACTTTTTTTCAGCCAAGACTGGCTTAGCATAAGGCACTGAAAACTTAAGGATGACATTAAGCAGTTAAATTACACTCTACTTTTGTAATGCAGAGTCAGAAGGGGAACCCACAGAGATTTAATAGCTTCATGAGTCTATAAAACCCTAGGTTTACAAATGCAAGTCAAATAAAAAACTATGAAAGTTGTAACCAAAAGTTGCTTTGAGTTAAAGGTCATTAAATAAAAGGAAGATAATAGGCAAGATCGCTTGGGCCCACATACAAAATAAAATGCCAAAATAAAACACCAATGGGCTGTAAAACAAAAACCAACCACCTCCTCCTGGGTTAAAAAAAAATCCAAAGAGACTTTCTAAGTTTGAAGTCCTAAAAAAGAAAAGGGCCAAATGGCATATGCAAAGTCCTGTACACTTTCATGGTCTCCCGGTGGCTGCTCAGAGGGGACCATGCAGTTATCAGTACCCAGAAAACAGTACAATCTCCTCAGAGAACTGGATGAGTCTAGACGTTGGAGATTAGGATCCCCTGAATGCAATAGAATTTATGCCAGGAGATTAAAGAGAAGACTTAATCTATGACTTTCTCCACCTGTTTGCAATATGGCCTCAGCTTATTGTCTGTATACATTGTGATGCATGGTAATTACAATGCTGAAAATAATGTGCAACATGTGACCACCGTTGTTAAGTTTAAAAAGGGGGCATTTGTCATATTTTAGTCTCCACATCTGGTTCTATCATATTTGCCAAATGATTAATAAAGGAATATATTACATTGAAATCCTTTCATATCTAAGTTTTATTTGCCAGGAAATAGAACACTTTCCTCCCATCTCCCCCCACATCCTAGGCTGAACTCAAATTTCCAGCACTAGGGTCCATTTGACTGAGGACAGGGAATTGCTCGTCTTTGTTAAATTCTGTAAGTTCGGTATTCACAACTGATGAATCCTTTGTTTTAAAAGCACATCCACAAGGGAGAAAGCCTAAAGCTTATTCTGAAAGCAGATGGAGCATCAGATACCCCAAACAAGTTAAAAGCACAGGAAGTAAATTCTAAATTTTAAACTCCTTTTTATTGAAATATAAGTTTGTTTAGTATATTTACACCACACTTTATGCACATATATACATAGAAGGCAAATTCTGTCAAATAAAAAAGTTTTAATAAAAAATTAAAATAAAAACAAAATAAAGTGCATGAAACTGATTTTTTTTTCTTCTCGTGAGCATCATCATTGTCAAAATTTTGGTTGGTTGGGGTTGGGGGAGGAAGACAAAATTCATTATTTGACTCAGTGCATACAGCCGGCCCTGAATTCATAGCCTTCAGGCCCAAATGACAAGAGATCAGGAATGAGTCACACAAATTAGCTGGGTCGGCAGGGCTCCCCCGAGTCTGGAGGTCCCGCTCTCTTTGTCCTACGGGGAGCCGTTCCCCTGCTTGGAACAGTGATCTCACCGCGTCGGCGCTGGAACAAAGGGAGAACACAGGAAGGGGGCTCCACCAGCCAATGTCACAGCCCTGCTCCGGGGCCACCAGCGCTGCATTTGGTAGGAAACTGCAGAATTAGCTCAACGGCTCAAACGGAAGTTTTCCTTTTTCGGAAAGAGAACGAGGGGGCCCAAGAATGGGGCGCATCTCCCACAGGGACGGCCACTGGGGGGCCAAACCCCAGCAACCAGTTTCCTAGGATCCAATCTCCGCGCTGGCACAGGAAAGAATCCTTTTATAAACTGGGTGGAGGAGAATGTTACACTTCCCGCCTCGTTGAGTTCGTCCACCCAGAACTTTGAAAGGAAATAGCGTGAGATTGAAAGAAGGGGGCAGGTGGGTGAAGCGGAAGTTTCATACACCTTCACTCTTGGGCCGCTAGCTGGGCGTTGGCTGGCTGGTCCCAGGCAGAGGCAGAGGCGACGGCCCTTCCCCCACCATCCATACCCCAGTCCAGCGTCTCTCTCTGTTCCTCCGGGTGATGCTAAGTCCCCGGCCGGCGGCCGTACTTGGTCTTACAGTGCAAAATGTGCTTGGCGAGGAAGTCGAGGCGGCGCTGTAGCAGCTGAGCGTGGGGGTCGGCGAGCGCGGCCAGCTCGGGGAAGCGAGGCTCGTGGCGCCGGTAGAGGCGCAGTAGCCGGGCCGCCGCGTCCTGTCCGCGGTGTAGCTCCAGGACGCGCCGCGCGGTCCGCTCGCGGAACACGCACACTGACTGCAACAGCGGCTCGTTATACTTGTCCCACATGCCTGCCACCCGGTAGCCGTGCACCAAGCCCGCCTCGTTGTCCAGAAAGACCAGCGCCCCGCCGGGACCGCGGTGCAGGTTGCTCGTGGCGCGCTGCATGACGCGCGGGTCCCACTGCAGGCTAAAGAGGTTGCTTACGAGCCGGTCGAAGTTGGCTGTCAGGTAGTCGAAAAGGATCAAGTCGGTCCATTGTACCAGGTCCACCAGCTCCGCCTGGCTGAGGTTGGCCAGCTCGCCCCCGGCGTCGCGCAGGGGCCGCAGACGGCCGTCCTCCGAGCGCCAGGGCGCGGGCACCACCACGTCGGTGAGGTTGGGAAGCCAGCGCGTCAGGCTCACTACGCTGCCCTCGGTCCAGTGTGCTGCGCGTAGCTCCTCCTGCACCTGCAACCACTGCGCGCCGCGCGCCTCCACCCGGGCCAGTGCCAGCGGCGGCACGTGGCGCTGGAGGCCCAGCAGGCGCGCCAGGTAGTAGGACAGGACCTCGCCCTGGATCTGCTCCGGGTTGATGCCATATCGCACACAGGCGCGGGTGCCGTCGGCAAAGCGGGCCAGTCGATTGGAGCTGCGCCCGCAGCCCCCGCGCTCCAGGGCCACCACCCGGGCGCCTCGCGCCATCTCCAGCCACGCCGCCGCCTGGGCCTCCGAAAAGCCCCGGGGCACCTGCTCCTCCAGGCCTCGGCTCCAGAAGACGCCCCCGTGCACCGCGGCGGGCTCCTCCGGCTGGGGCCGCCCGGCTGGCACGTGCCGCCTGCGCTCGCCCAGGGGCTGCCGGGGCGGGCCGTCCGCGCCGGCCGCCAGGGTGAGCAGCGCCCGGAAAGTTTTCAGGGAGCCGCCGCGGGCGTCCCACGCCAGGGGCGGGGGCAGAGGGAAGCGAGGAGCGGGCGCGGGGCCGCCGCTCCTGGCCGCGCGCCGTGGGAGTCGGTCTTCGGGCGGCGGGGAAGCGGGTAGCTCTGTCCGCGGCGGCAGGAGCCCGCCCCACAGCGCCAGCAGCGAGCCCAGCGCCAGCAGCCAGAGCCCCGCGGTGGCGGCGGCGCCCCGCATCCTCCTGCCCATGCTCCCGCGGCCGCACCGGTGCCGCCGCCGCCGCCGCCGCCGCCGCTTCAAGCCGAGCCCAGGCACCCGGGTCCCGGCGGCGAGGCGGGCCCGGCAGCTTGTTGGCTCCGGGGCTTCGGGCGCCTCAGCCCCATCGCGGCCGCCGGGCGCTGCGGGGCTCTGTCCGGCGCTCCGCCCGGCGCTGGGAACTCGCCTCGCCGCCGCTTCCCAGCTGCTTTTGTATTTCGCTGTGAGACCCTCCGGTGGGCGCGATTCACAGGCGCCCGGACCACGTGGGAGTGAGGGGGATCCCCCTCCCCCTCCTCCGCCGCTGCTCCCCGCCCCCGCTCCCCCCGCCCCCTTCCCCTCCTCTTCCCCTTAAAGCGGCGATGGCTCCTTCCAGGAGGGAGAGGCGGCCCCACACTCGGCCGGGGACTTAGGGGCCGGGAGGAAGCTGGACTGGCCGCGCCCGCGCGGGGGCGTCGGAGGAGGCGGCGCAGAGCCGGCGTCCCGGGCCGCGCGGGAGGGACGCGCCCTGGGCCCTCGCGGGGTGCGGTGGTCGCCGGGTCCCTGCGCCTGGTCTCCGGCAAACTTCGGGCAGGTCCCCACTGCGCTCCGGGCTCCGCTGGGCGAGAATCAGGGCGGGCCCCTTTGCTTTCTCCGGTTTTTGACGGGGTGATTCACTCGGCCTTATGTAAATCCCTGGGAATCTTTCCGAGCCACAGAGGATGTGACTCCAGCAGGGAAAGGAACCGTCTGTAGCCACAACTTTGAACCGACACCCCCTTTTCGGAGCACGCTCACTACCACCAGCCACTGCGGACTCGGGAGCTTTGAGGTTGGCCGCTCCGCCTTTCCCAAGGGACTCACGAGGAAGTAAACCTCGCTGTGCACGCGCGTGTGGAGCACCTTGGCCAGCTCCCATTCACTCGTGCATCCGTTCAACAAAGCTACTGCCCTCGGTTGTGGTCCCACGAGCAGTAAAATCCGCAGATCCGGGGCCCAGTGCTCACGGAGTTTACCTTCCAGTGGGACGTTCGGGTTGCTGCTTAGAGATAGCCTGGGATCCGACCTCGTGTGGGGGAGAGAGATGTCAGGGATGATTTCTCAAAAATAAATGATACTGTTTTGCCCGTGAAGAAACTGAGGCATGGAGAAGGGGTGTGTCTTGCTCAAGATCCCACAATTAGCAAGTAGAAAAGCTAAAAGTCAAACTCGGGTCTCCTCGCCGCACGCCACTTGATTTTCCCTCCATCGAGAATGTTCAATATTTTTATCAAGTCAGCATTCCCAATTTTTAAACTTACTGTCATCTAACCAGTCATTTTATCCCTCAAATGTGATTTTCAATTAAATAAATGAAAGAAAAAAGAAACCCCATGTTGCAGTTGATTTACTGGCTTAATGGTTTAAGGGAAAAAAATGGTAAGGAGGTGGTGAAGAAGCAAACAAAACAAAACAAAAACCAAACAAAACCCCTAGCACATTTTCCAGCCACCTTTGGGTTTGATCTCCCAGGAAAACTCTTCAGATGCAAATGGGCCCTCTCCCTGCCCTCTCTGCAAGAGAGCGTGTCCCAGATCCAAACTGAGATTCCCAGGTTAGACAAAGCTGGGGGGTGCGGGGTGGTGGGATCTACCTCCTGAAAGCCAGAGTTCGAAACCTGTTTCTTACACGTTTCTTTTCTCCCTCCATTGGGTGCACATGAGGGTTTTCAACTGTACCACCTCATCTGCTGGCACTGATTATACTTTATTCTCCAAAGAATGAATGTTCTAGAATTATAGACCAGACACTCTGATGTTTGTGGCTGAGCAGAGGCATCAAAAGATCACATCTGGGGCCTTCCGTCCTTGACCCAGTGTACCTTCGAATGTCTTCACTGGTGTGGTAAGTACACATTGGCTGAAATGTGGGGTCTTTGTTGAACCTATTCCCAACCACATGGTGGCTATACCATGCCTTTTTACAGCTTTTATCTGATAATGAGATTACTATGGCTCCCATATGGTTACATCAAACTATATTAATTCATTAAAAGGTATTATCTTCCTGGCCTTTGCAAGCTCCCTCCTCCCATCTTTCCCTAGCAGGCAGGGACGGGGTCTTAACAAGTTTTTATTTCTTATCCCACCTAACATAGTGTACTACACTAAATAAGCACCCAATAAGTTAAATTTAATTTTTGTCTTTTAGTTTAAATTCTACTGGTATATTAAATATATGTATTTTAAATGCAGCGCTTTTAGTTTGGGCAAACTACAAGCAAGATCTCCACCTTGTGGGCATAAGTAGAATATCCTCTAATTAGAGAAAAGTGTATATATTTTTAAGTGGACAATTTATTGTTTAGGTTAAACTCTAAGAATATTAAATGGCTACTATGGCTGTGTCCTAGGGGTTATGGGGAAATGCTAAGTAGTTGGTGTCTCTGTCGTTTTGGCTGTTCGCAAAAGCTGTAAATAACTACCAGGGATCCTTCATTGTAAACTTCACAGGGAGTCAGTCTTGTCCATTGTTTTATGGCTGCCTGGGCACGACGCCTGGCACTTAGTGGGTATTCAATAACAAGTTGCTGAATAAGTTATTGAAATGTTAATGAGATGAAGCTCTGCAAGAAGCATGTATCCAGGTTTTTTTTTTTTTTAAACAAAGGGGTACAAGATAAGGCTTTTCATTAATTTCAAAAGGAATAAAACATGGATGAGGGCTCTGCATAATGGGTATGGGGGGAAGCACATAACTTCCAGGCTGGAAAGACTGGCTTCAAACCCAGATACCCCAAATCCTGGAATTTCCGAATCATATTCTCAGTAGTGATGAAAAATTTGAGGCTTAAAGAAGTTGGCTGAGATCTTACACTGCAGAAGGTGGACCAACTTTGTCTTTGAACAGCCCTTTGCCTGTAGCCGAAGGATTGAATGCACCATGTCCCGGAACAGGATACACTAATAGAAACTTTAACAAGTTAATTGAAATGCAGAATTACTGAAAACCAAAGGAATAAACACATACGCACATACTCCCAAAGCAGAATGCAGTTTTAAAGTGATATTTGATTATTTTAGATAGTTTTTAAAAACACTCCTCTGTTTACCTGTTAGATAAAAACATTCCCATTCTCCTTTACTTCCCGACCCGTGGACACCCACGGGCAAACCACTGTGGCTCTTTGGGATAGCATAGTTAACCACAACATGTAACCTCAGTCCCTTCTGGCATTTGCTTGGGGATGAGATGTTGCTCACCTGTCCCTAAACTGGAATCTGTTTGTACCTTTCAGACTTTGTTAATACTCCCAAGCCTGGACTTACAATATCTTCAAACTTTCCTGCAGTCCTGTTTGAAGAATGATCTGGTTCATATAACGGTGCCTCCAGGGGAAAAGAGAGGAGTCGGAGTTGAGGGCTAGGAGCAGGGGAGGAGGGTTAGAGTTGGAAGAATTTCCAAGTCCTGGCATTACAAGTTTCTAGCTTGTTCCTTGGGCTAGTTATTTACCTTCTATGAGTTTTAGTTTCTAAACCTGAGAAATGAGGTTAATAAATCCTACCTAACTCACAGGGTTGTTACGAAGCTCAAGTGAAATATTAATAATAATAACAATAGGGGCAGGAAACACTGAGTTTGCTTATTCTGGGCTTGGTGTGGGGCTGAGTCCTGCATGTGCTTTATCTCGTCTAAAGTTCCTAGCAAGTATTATTGTTGTCCCCACTTTACAAATGGGAAAGCTGAAGTTTAGCCAGTAACTGCCCTGAAGTCATCATACAGCAAGGAAGTGGCAGGGCTGAGATTCCAGAATGATGGAGTCAAAACCCCTTATAAATTATAAACTGCTGGGGGAATGTCAGGTATAAAAATTATTGCATTAAATCAAGATAGAGTCAACTCAGATGAAATTTTGCTTTGAAATGTTCTCCGGGGTTGCTACTAAGTGAAATGGTTAAGAGTGTGAACTCTAAAGCCCGATTCTCTAAGTTTGAAACCCAGTCCTGCCACTTAGCAGGTGTGTGACCTTGAGTAAGTTACTTCACCTCTCTGTGCCTTAGTTTGCACATCTGTAAAACGCAATAATAATAGTATTACTAGTATTAGTAATAATAATTATAATAATTATATGATATCTAATTATTACTAGTAATAGTAACCTTATTATTGTGATGATTAAATTAGTCCTTATATTTAAAGTGTTTAAAAGACCATCTAAGTGTTCACTATTATTATAGTTTTTGTTCTTTTTCCTTCCTGTTTTACTGTTTCACTGCCCAGATGGAGATCTCTTCCTTTACCTGTTGCTGTCCTCCACCAAGCCTCACTTGGGGCTTGAGATACCTAATACAGGTGGGTGTTCCAGCTCGATGCACCTTCTTTATGCGCCACGTGTGTGTCTTCCCTGACAATTTCACAATTTCCTTCCCCATGGAGCTGGACCAGCTGGCCTCTTCCAGTTCTCAGTGCCACTCTTGTTAAAAGCCCAGAGCCTTCAGCCAGCCTCGGGCAGACAGATCCTGGCTTCCTCTCACTACTCTGCCTTCTTCAAGCCTGACCTTTCTGGGTCTACCAAGTTACAAGCCCCTCGCAAAGATGGAGGCCCCCAAATGTATCCTTCCAGATGCTTCTACAAAAAGGAAGAGAAGGGAAAAAAGATGTCAGAGAGGAGTGTAATACACCTTGAAACTTGGTATGACTCCTACATTGGCCATTAGTGTTTGACTGTGGGTAGTTTTCTAGCCTCCTGGGCTGTAGTTTTATTATTTGTGTCTTCCTGTGATGGATTGAGTGTTTGTTTCCCCCTCTGACCCCAACTCATATGTTGAAATCTTAACCCCCAGTGTGATGGCATTAGGAGGTGGGGCCTTTGGGAGCTAATTAAATCATGAGGGTGGAGCCCTCATAATTGAGATTAGTGCCCTTAGAAAAGAGACCCCAGGAATCTTCTAGCTCTCTTTCTGCCATGTGGAGACACAGCAAGAAGGCTGCTACCTATGAACCAGGAAGAGCACCCTCACTAGACACCAAATCTCCTGGTACCTTGATCTTGGACTTTTAGAAATAACTGTTTGTTTTTTAAGCCACCCAGACTATGGTATTCTGTTATAGCAGCCTGAACTAAGACTCTCCCTCTTCCCCATCTTTTCTCCCCAAGGGTACATTATTTTTCTCCTTGAGGATCATTTTCCTTTTCTTGGTATTTCTATTTGACCATGATCCGGGTCTTCAAAGAATAGCTTAACTTATTCCATCCTCATATACCTGGCTGTCAAGGGCAGGTATATTCACATCTGGTTCCAGGTAAATCCTACTGGTGAGGTAGAAGGAGGTGAAGAAATGTAATAGTCTTTGAATACAATTAACCTGTCCACCTGAATGAGTCCCACTTTTAAGAACACATTGTGTTTCTGGAAAGAAAGTCAAGGTTGACATGAACCCTTTAAATTGTGATGAGACTAACATTTTTATGATTCTTTTTATTCCATCTA